CACACACACACACACACACACACACACACGCTGTCCTGGGGTGAATTCCCTGGTGGTGTGTGTTGGCCGGAATGTCAGCTCCCTAACCCTGTGTCATGCATGTGCTGACTTTTCAGTTGTGACAAAATATAAAATTTACCACTTTAACCATTTTAAGTTCACAGTTAAGTAGTTTTAAATGCGTTCACCTTGTGCAATCTCTAGGACTCTTTTCATCTTGTAAAACTAAAACTGTGCCCTATCCCCCCTTCCCCCAGCCCTTGAACCATTCTTTGTGTCTCTGAATTTGCCTGTTATAGGTACCTATACAAGTGGAATCATACAACGTTTGTCCTTTTGTGACTAGCCTACTTCATTTAGCATAATGTCTTCAAGATTCATCCGTGTGACACCGACCAGGGTTCTTGGCCTTCCCCAATCCATAGAAATTGATCAGAGGCTAGACAAGAAATTCAGGCAAGGCTTTATTGGGGCCCCTGCTGCAGCAGCCGGGAGCAAGAACAAGTAACAGGTTCCCTTGTTCACTCCCTGGGGCTGATGAGCTTGTTCCTAATATGGGGTGAGGGTAGGGGTGTGTCCAGGGGTCGGGCCAGAGGGGAGGCTTAGGTGTTTTGCCCACCCCTTTGGTGGTGGTGACTGCAGGAGGCATGTACAGCACGCTGCTTATGCTCCCGACACCCTGTTTTTGCATCCAGCTCTTCAGAAGTGGCAGTTGGGTTTTTTGGTCTCTTTGTACCTTGTCCAGAATTTGCCCCAAATGCACATGTGCACAGTTATTTTTAGTCCCTATACATTCTTTGTATTTTGTTGCTTGAGGAGAGGTTTGTCCTGGTGCAAGCACTGCAGCAAAGGGTCCCAGGTCCCAGCCTGTCTCACATACTGTTGCGTGTGTCAGAATTTCTTTCCTATTTAATAACATTTCTCTCTCATATATATATATATATAATATATAATATATATAACCACATTTTGTATATCCATTCATCACTTGGGTGGTTTCCTCTTTTTAAAAAAAAATATTTATTTTTTTGTTTATTTTTGGCTGCTTTGGGTCTTTATTGCTGCGCACGGGCTTTCTCTAGTTGTGGGGTGCAGGGACTACTCTTCACTGAAGTGTGCGGGCTTTGCATTGCGGTGGCTTCTCTTGTCACAGAGCACAGACTCTAGGCGCGCGGGCTTCAATAGTTGTGGCACACAGGCTCAGTAGTTGTGGCTCGCGGGATCTAGAGCGCAGGCTCAGTAGTTGTGGCACACGGGCTTAGTTGCTCCACAGCATGTGGGATCTTCCCAGGCCAGGGCTCGAACCCGTGTCCCCTGCATTGGCGGGCAGTTTGTTAACCACTGCGCCACCAGGGCAGCCCCAGGTTGTTTTCTCTTTTTGGCTCTCCTGAATAATGCTGCTATGAACATTGATGTATAAATATCTCTTTCAATTCTTGGGTATAGAGAATCCATGTGTTTTGAATTTAACATTCTTAAACATTAAGGATGCTTTTTCTCTAATATGTAAACAGGCAAGATTTTGCGGGGAGAGATGATAAAAATGGCAGTCTGGAGTCGACTTCTATTTCCGGGTGTCACGTTTTGAGACCCTTTGTGGACAGGCTGTACAATGGGCCATGTGATGGGTCCTGTGACTTCCACTCACAGGGGAAGATGCAGCCCTACCTGGGCTGATGATGCCTGAGTGGCACACACCCATGAAGAGGGAAGGAAACCAGATAAGCAGAGACGGGGCTTCTCACCTCATTCCTTAAATAAAAAATACATTCCCAATAGATTAAATATTTAAAGGTTTAAAAAATAAGTCACAAAACAAAGATAAATTCTTTATGTAGCTGTGTGACTATTTTAGGGCAGATATGAAAGGACTCTCTGTCAGACCATTTGGGTTTCTTCATCAGCCTGTTCAGGTTTTCTGTTTCTTCTCAAGATAACTTTAATTGCTAGAGAACCATTCATTTCATTCAGGGTTTCACATTTTAGAAACAGCTGGCTATCACATCTGTATCTGTGGTCATATCCCTTTTAGGGATTGTTGACTTGATTGTTTATTTGGGCTATTGTTTCTTTGTGTTTCTTGATTATGCTTTCCAGCTATTTTAATATGTTGCTGTTTTTCTTTTTTCCCCAAGGAACTGAAATTTATCAGTACTGATTACTTTCTTCTTTATTTATTTCTACCTCCTTTTCATATTTCCACTGTTAATTTCTTTCTGGTTCCTTCAGATGAATATTCTATTTGTTTGTTTTTATTCTTTCTTGTTTAATAATGAAAATATTTAAGGAATGAATTTACTTGTGAGTACAGGTTTGTGTGTGTGTGTATAGTGTTTTCAATTGCCTTATTTTTTTCTCTTTCATAATATCTTAAAACATTTTCCTATTTTGTAAAGGTAATAATAATTTCTTTAAACCCTGGTCAAAATAATATGGTTAAAAAAAGTCAGTTGTACGTGAGGAAAAGCAGCTATTCCTGGCCCACTCCTACCCAACCAGTCTTAGTTCCCAAAGGTAAAACTTTACGTCCAGCTTGCTCTGTAGTTATTCCTTCATTTAGTCTTTTATTAACTATGTATTGAGTGCCTGCCTTCTATGTGCCTAAGCAACTGTTTTAGGTACCAGTGTATATAGAGGTGAATAAAAACAGGGAAGCATCACTGCATCCCCCCCTACATAGTACTGGTGGAGTGGAGATATAGTATAAATATAGAAATAAAGGACAGAATATGTATATTAGATGTGATAAGTCAAGTTATACAGAGGAAAAAAAGTCAGGTAGTGGGGACAGAGAGCGGTGGATCAGGGAAGTGTTCACTGAGATGGTGACTTTTGAAAAAAGACCTGAAGGAGGAGAGACAGAGAGTCACAGAGACATCATATGGAAGAGAATTCCAGGCAGAAGGAACAGAAGGACCCTGAAGTAGGAGCCTGCCTGAAATGTTTAAGGAACTACAAGAGAGCCATTGAGGCTGGACTGTAAACTGCGTGTGTGAGGAGAAGGCAAATGCGGCATCAGGAAATGAGTTAAGAGGCTATTTATTTATTTTTAAAATTTTTATTTATTTATTTTTGGCTGCCTTGGGTCTTTGTTGCTGCGCACGGGCTTTCTCTAGTTGCGTCGAGCAGGGGCTACTCTTCGTTGCGGTGCGCAGGCTTCTCATTGTGGTGGCTTCTCTTGTTGAGGAGCACGGGCTCTAGGCGCGCAGGCTTCAGTAGTTGTGGCATGTGGGCTCAGTAGTTGTGGCACACGGGTGGCTTATTTGCTCCGTGGCATGTGGGATCTTCCCAGACCAGGGCTTGAACTCGTGTCCCCTGCATTGGCAGGTGGATTCTAAACCGCTGTGCCACCAGGGAAGCCCCAAGAAGCTATGTATTTAAATAACATACCTATGCTATGATGTCTTCATTTATATAGTTTAGACATTTTCTAATCCCCTGATGGATAGGGATTTGACACACTCCACAGCTCCTACTTTTCTTCCTTAGTTTCCTAATACACATATTACTATTTTCAGTTCCAAAGTTGTATATTGTTTAAGCAACACACTTACACCTTCTCTTTCTTATTCCATCAGGTATAGACAGTGTCTCTTGACTCCCAGCTTTAAAAGATGAAGATGCCAGCATCTCTAACCTTCCAGTAAGTTTGCATCCTTTTTTCTACATTCTCAGCTTCTATTATCTGTGCTTCTTATTATCTGTGCTACATCTTATTCATATTACAATCTGTAATCATAATTCAGTCTTTTTTTCCTTCCTTTTTATTGAGATATAATTGACCTACAGCCCTGTATAAGTTTAAGGTGAACAGCATAATGATTTGACTTAGCTATATCGTGAAATGATTACCACAGTAAGTTTAGTGAACATCCATCATCTCCTATAGATACAAAAAAAAAGAAAAAGGAATAAAAGAAAATATATTTTTTCCTTGTGATGAGAACTCAGGATTTACTCTCTTAACGATTTACATACGTAACATAAAGCAAAGTATAATATAATTATATGAATCATGTTGTACATTACATCCCTAGGACTTCTTTACCTTATAACTGGCAGTCTCTAACTTCTGACCACCTTCATCCAATTCCTCCTCCCCTCAAACCCCCTTCCCCCTGCCTCTGGTAACCACAAATCTGATCTCTTTTTCTACGAGTTTGTTTGTTTGAAGTATAATTGACCCACAGCACTACGTTGGTGCCTGGTGCACAACATAGCGATTCAACATTTCTATACTTTACAAAATGATCACCATGATAAGTCTAGTTACCGTCTGCCACCGTACAAAGATATTACATTATTATGGACGATATGCCCTATGCAGTACATTTTGTCCTGTGACTCATTTATTTTGTACCTGGAAGTTTGTACCTCTTGATCTCCCTCAACCCATTTCACTCCTGTCTCCACCCCAGCTCTCCTCTGGCAACCACTTGTTTGTTCTCTGTATCTGTGACTCTGTTTCGGTTTTATCTATAACTGCTTTTCAGTTCACTTGTTTTGTTTTAGATTCCACACATAAGTGAAATCATATGGTATTTGTCTTTCCCTGTCTGACTTATTTCGTGGAGCATAATACCCTCTAGGCCCATCCATGTTGTCGCAAATGGCAGGATTTCCTTCTTTTTTATGGCTGCGTGATACTCTGTTGTATACATATGCCTCATTTTCTTTATCCATTCATCCACTGATGGACACTCAGGTTGTTTCCATGACCTGGCTCTTGTGTATAATGCTGCAATGAAATTGGGGTGCCTTGTTTTTCTTTATCAAAGAAAACTGAACATTTCTAAACTCTCCATCATATCATGTATTCTGACAGCTCCACTTTTCTTATCAGATACCTGTCTTCCTCCTCGCTCTTTAATCTGGACAGGTTCCTCTCTAGGCCTGTTGCATTCCTGTCATTGTGGATTTCCCTTTGTTGCTGTTTTAGGTTGTATCCTGTGTTTTGGACTCCCTGTTTTCTTTCCTGGTTTAACCCCTCATCTTTTTGAAGCACACCTTCAAGTAGTTTTCTAAGAAAAAGAGCTAGTAGGTAAAATTTCTATGTTCTTGCATGTCTGTCTGAATATTTAATCTTATACTTTAATTCTTTGGTTAATTACAAACTTCTAGAAAAAAGAATTTTCCCTCTGAATTATTTTAAATTAAGAAATTTAAAAATTATTTGCTATTTTCCCTTACAGCTTTGTTATGTATCAGTTGTATTTCTTAAATTCCTTACTTTTCATTTTGAAAAATATCAAATCTATAAAAAAATGGAAGGAATAGTGAAAAGAACACCTATATGTCCTTCACATAGATCCACTAATCATTAAGATTTTGCCATATTTGGTATATCTTTCTGTCTACACACATGTGGTGTGCATGCATACACACACACACACACACACACACACACACACACACACAAATGCACATACACATGCACAGTTTTTCTGAACCATTTAATGTAACTTTCAGATATCATGTCACTTCACCCCAAGTATATATATCCTAAGAACAAAGACATTCTCATGCATAACTACACTACAGTTATTGTACTCAATAAAGTAATGTAAATAAAATAATATCATCTAACTGATATACAACCCACTTTTGTCTCTCTCTAATTGTTCAAATAAACTTCTCCACAGCTGTTTGTTTTCTTGTCAATCCATGATTCAGTTGTGTTTAATAGTCAATCTCTTTGAAGGTATGTCATCTGTTTTCTAACATTTGGTGTTGGTGATAAAAAATCTGAATTTTGTTCCTTCATAAGTGGTATTTTTTTCCTTGCGGAAGCTTTTAGAGTATTTTCTTTTTTTCCCAGTGTTCTAAAATTTTGCAGACACATGGGTCTCTTAAAAGACCTTGTGCTGTTTGCTCTGTAGGTACTTTCAATCTGAAAACGTATAACTTTAACCTTTTGGAGATATTGTTGTATTGCTCATTTGATAATGTTTCCCCTCTGATTTCTATCTTTCTTTATTTGGAATGCCTGTAAAACTGGGCCTCCTGGAAAGGTCTTCTGAGTCTCATTTCTTTCATGTCTCCCATCTCATGGTCTTTTTGCTCTGCTTTCTGGAAGATTTCTTCTGTTTTATCTTCTGGGCCTTCAATTTATTTCAGCATGATATTTTCATTCTGTAAGAGCCCTTTCTTGTTCTCTGATTGTGCCGTTTACTTAGTATCTTGTTTATGATTTTGAATGCAATAACTTCCTGAATATAGTTATGATTATAATTAGAAAAAAATTTTAATTCTCTTCTATTTCCTGAATTAGTTCTCTTTCCTTTGAGGTTGTTTTTTTCCTGTTTGTGGTACTTTTTTAAGGCAGCCCTTAGCAAATGAATACAAATTTCTGTCTCTCTTTCTTTCCCTCCCTTCCCTCCTTCTTCCTCCCTCCCTCCCTCCCTTCCTTCTCTCCTTCCTTCTTCCTTCTTTCTCCTCCTCTTCCTCCTCCTCCCTTTTCTTCTTTGTTATTTAATGGAAGAACTCTCAGGTGTTTCACTTGGAGAGTTGATCTTTCTGGAGGCCCTGCATTCTGAACGAGGGGAGGAGCTAAGGACTGGACTGTTTAAGACAGAGCCTTTGGAGTAATCCCAGTGTTTTTGGCCCGGTCTCACTTGCGTACTCTGTCTTATGCCTCTCTGGAATTCTGTAGGGAAGATCGGCAACCTCCTCTGCGGTGTGTCATCTGTCATTACTTCTGTATCAGCTTGACACAGTCTCACAATTTTTTTTTAAACTTTCTTCCGCTGATGGACAACTTCTTGTTCTCATTGTCATTGTGGATTTATTCCCATTTTAGTCCTTTACTATCATTTTTGTAGGGTCTTAGGGGGAAGAAGAGAAAAACTGAGTGGCCAGCCCATCATTTTGAAAATAGCACTTATTTTCTTGTCTCCAACTTGCAGTTTTGATCTTTTTAGCTGAGAAGTTATTTAGGAGGCTTGTATCAGTCAGGATGGGCTAGGCTATGCTGTATAACAAAACTCTCAAAATATTAATGGCTTAAAATAGCAAAAGTTTATTTCTTGCTCACCGAGGTTGGCTGGTGGCTTTGCTCCAGGTCTCCCCACTCTGAGACCCAGGCTAACAGAGCAGCTGCCATCTTGCTGTTACCAGTTGCCATGGCAGAGATAACCTAGTGAATCATGCACTGTCCCTTTAAGTTTCCACCCAGAAATGATACCCATCATTTCTCTTCATATTTCATTGGCCAAAGAAAATCATTTGACTATTCTTAACATCAAAGGGGGTGAAGAAGTACAATCCTACCCTGTGCCTAGAAAATGGAAAGCTGGAAATGTCTGTTGAACAGTACAATGAACCACCAGAAGATTGTAAAATTTCAAGTGTTTGAATTCTGAAAACTTTTAACACTTGAATTAAAAAAAAATTGCACTGGAATCAGAGAATGTAGGCTTGTATAAAATTCCTGAGATTTTTTCATTGCATTATTTGTGACTGATTTTTTAAAATGCTTTATGGGATTGGTAAAGGTGTACCCTTTGTTGGTTGTAGACAAGTTTGACACATACACAACATGAAGCTATTTATATCTTCTATATACCTGTTAATTTTTTTATATACCAGATCTATCAAAGACTAAAGAATTATTTAAAGTTCTTACCATACTATTGTGTTTCTATAGATTTCTCCTTGTTTTTATAACAGTTTTGCACTCATATTTACCTTGTAAGAGTTCATAGTAGATATGCATTTTCTATTTTGTTTAAATAACCTTTGTCTCAATTAATAGGACTTTTATTTTATTTATTTATTTTAAAATTAATTAATTAATGTATTTATTTTTGGCTGTGTTGGGTCTTCATTGCTGCTCACGGCTTTCTCTAGTTGTGGTGAGCGGGGGCTACTCTTCGTTGCAGTGCACGACCTTCTCATAGCAGTGGCTTCTCTTGTTGCAGAGCACCGGCTCGGCACGTGGGCTTCAGTAGTTGTGGCACTTGGGCTCAGTAGTTGTGGTGCACAGGCTTAGTGGCTCCACAGCATGTGGGATCTTCCCGGACCAGGGCTCGAACCCATGTCCCCTGCATTGGCAGGCAGATTTTTAACCACTGCGCCACCAGGGAAGTCCCCTAATGGGACTTTTAAATTCTTGTTCCATTGCCACATGTCTTCTGTACTCTCTTAGGATCTCAAAGTGCTTTTTATAATTTTAAAATTTTTTTAATTTTTTAAAAGTGATATTGAATTTGGTGATGATTTCCTGGATATGACACCAAAAGCATAGGCAACAAAAGTAAAAATAGATATATTGGACTTCATCAAAATTAAAACTTTCAGGACACTATCAACACAATGAAAGGGCAACCTACAGAATGAGAGAAAATATTTGCAAATGATATATCTGATAAGGGGTTGATGTCTAGAATATAGAGAACTCCTACAATTCAACAGTGAAACAAACAACCCAATTCAAAATGGGCAAAGGACTTGAATAGACATTTCTGCAAAGAAGATATACAAATGGTCAACAAGCACACGAAAAGGTGCTCAACATCACTAATTACTAGGAAATGCAAGTCAAAACCACAGTGACAGGGAACTATATTCAATATCTTATAATAACCTATAATGGAAAAGGATCTGAAAAAGTATGTGTATATATAATATATATATATAATATATATATATCACTTTGATGTACACCTGAAACTACTGCAACATTGTAAATCAACTATACTTCAATTAAAAAAAAACAAAACCACAGTGAGATACCACCTCACAACCATTAGGATGACTACTATCAAAAACACAGAAAATAGCAAGTGTTGAGGAGATTGTGGAAAAATTGGAACTTTTGTTCACTGTTGCTGGGAATGTAAAATGGTGCAGTTGCTATGGAAAGTAGTATGTTGGTTCCTCAAAAAATTAAACATAGAATTACCATATGATCTAGTAATACATTTTTGGGTATATACTCAAAGGAATTGAAATCAGGGTCTTGAAGAGATATTTGCACACCCATGTTCATAGCATCATTATTCACAATAGCCATAAGGTGGAAGCAACCCATTCACCCACTGATGAATGAATGGATAAACAAAATGTGGTATAGACATACAACGGAATATATTCAGCCTTGAAAAGGAAGGAAATTGGAACAGGTACTACAACATGGATGAACCTTGAAGTTGTTATGCTAAGTGAAATAGGCCAGTTACAAAAAGTCATGTACTGTATGATTTTACTTATATGAAGCACTTAGATGCTGTGGACTGAATTGTGTCCACCCTAAATTCATATGTTGACGCCCTAACTCCCAATGTGGCTGCATTTGGAGACAGGTTCTTTAAAGAGGTAATTATGGGTGGGGCCCAATATCGCTAGTGACTTTATAAGAAGAGACCAGGGATGCATGCACACAGCGAAAAGGCCATGTGAGGACACAGTGAGAAGATGGCCATCTCCAAGCCAAGGAGAGAGATCTCAGGAGAAACCGAAACTGTCAGTACTTGATCTTGGACTTGTAGGCTTCAGGACTGTGAAAAAATAAATTTCTGTTTTTTAAGCCACCCAGCCTGTGGTAATTTGTTATGGCAACCTTAGCAGATTAATATACCAGAGTAGTCCAATTCATAGAGACAGAAGGTAGGATGGTGGTTTCCAGGGTCTGGGAGGAGAAGGGAATGGAGAGTTATGTCATGGGTACAGGGTTCAAGTTTGGCAAGATAAATTCTGGAGATTGGTCGCACGACAATGTGAATGTGCTTAACACGGCTGAACTGGGCGTTTAAAAATGGTTAAGACGGTAAATTTTATATTATGTATATTTTATCACAGTTAAAAATAAACATGTTTTTAATTATGATAAAATATACATAATATAAAATTTACCTTCTACCATAGCCCTATTTTTCTCCTCTCCTTTATAGCAAAACTGAAAAAAGTAGTTTCTGTTTGCCATCTCCACTTCTTCATGGCTCACTTTCTCTTGAACCGTTCCAATTAGGATTTTCTGAAGCTGCCTTGTTCAGGGTTACTGAGATAATTTCAGTCCATCAGCAGCAATGTTGCTCTCTCGCTCCTCCTTGAGATACTTGCCCCGTGATCTCCTGGTTTTCCTCTCGCTTTTCCTTTGTAGGAGGGGGCTCGCCCCTCCTCCTGACTTTATCTGCAAGTTACCCCAGGACTCTGCCCCAGGCTTTTTATACTCACCCCCTGGCAGTCTCATCCAGTGCCATCTATCCACTGGTGAATTTCAGGTTCTGTCTCCAGCCCACCCTCCCTTGGAACCCAGCGCAGGACATCCACCCGCCCACCCCACATCGTCACAAGGATGTCGACCAGGCATCTGAAATGCATCATGCCCCGAACAAATCCTGACCTCTCCTTCAGAACCTGTCTCCCTCCATCGTTTGCCATCTCAGTAAATAGCACCACCTTGCAACCAGATTGAAAAACGGGCACCCTCGTAACTGCGCACCAGAGATCTTGGAGTCACCTTGACCCCCTGCTTTCTGTCTCAGCCCACATCCAACTCACCCGAGTATCCTGTTGTCTGTCTTCAAAACCTCTCCAGGGCCCGGCTCCTCCCCGCCTCCTCTTCTACCACCTGCCTTGGCCAGGCAAGCTCCTCTCATCTGGACGACTGCGGAGGCTTCTGAGTTAAACGAACAAATGAATAAATGCTATGAGTGTTGAAATTGGCGATATGAAATATATATGTGTGTGCCCGAGGACGCCAGCTGAAATGCAATTGAACGTTTTCTCTGCAGGCTGCAGGTGAGAATAGGTGATCATATATCAGCATATGTAACCCAGAGAACTAGCGGTATGCCCACACCCCTCTCACCCAGTAGCTAATGTGTACCTGGTAAAAGACCGCTAGTATCACCAGGAAGTCTGCAGACACACAGACGTGCATCTCTATTGACTAACTGAAAGTACAGTAGTATGGCCGTTAGAACTTAAAGAGAGAAATCAGAGAATTTGAGATACCACGCGAATAACCAGATTATCGGAGAATGAGCTGCTTTGCTTAGGATGGTTGATGGTTCTGAGAGGAGCAAGTGTGGTCCTAGTTTCAAAGAGTATGGTGTATGACCCCCCCACCCCACCCCCAAGCCGTATCCTCTTCCCATACCTATCTTGGTAGCAGAAACAGCTGGAGTTTAATGGTCTATTTATTTATTTAGATTTGGCCAAAAGGGACACATCAAAGTTATGGCACTAAAATGTTTCTGCTCTTGGGGTGGATACTACATTAAAACATCCTGTTGCCGAGACGAAGCAACTCTTGAAGTTGGACCGGTGGTGGGAGGCTGAGAGTGGGGTGTGACCAGGTGTCTTGAGACGAGTTGCTTACTGATGGGCGGAAGCTGTTAAACCTTCTGGGTGATGCAGTCTCCTCGGTACCACATGAGTCAGGTGCTGGCCGTGCTAGGACGAGGCAGAACCCAGAGCAGTAGCAAAACTGTTGGGAGGGGTCTGAAACAGAACTGGAGGAGCTTCTGGCAGTGGCTGTGTGGAAGGTAAAGAGAGAGAGAGAGAGAGAGAGAGAGAGAAAAGAAGAAGGAGAAGGGAAAGGAGAGGGAGGGAGGGGAGGGTCGCCACTCAGCGGGGAGGGCTGCCTCTCAGCATCACTTCTGTGACCTGCTTCAGGATGGACACAGGTGATGTGGACAGGTCATCGTTGGGTTTTCCATCACTTGCAGTAGGGGCACAGTCCCAGCGTCACACAGAGGCAGAGCCTACAGAACAAGTCTGTCCCTCTGAATGTTCAGCCCCATCTTTCTCCTCCCAGGACAGGCCACCTGCTCTGCTCAGGTGCCCAGGGAGCCCTTAGTGCATAGAGTCCTGATATGTCCTGCCAGCAGCAGAGGGAGCCCACACTCTACCGAAAGGGATTAAGTTTCTCATTAGAATACAAAGCAGGAAATACAATAACGGTGTTTTTTGCCACGCAGTATGTCCTTACAGATGAAGCTTTAATCTCCCTCATACATCTCCGTTGCTGTAAATTCCTGCTCTATTATGGTACCATATGCCGTGATTCCCTGGGAGAAAGCCACAGTAAGCTTGGCGGCGAGCTTGGGCTTCTGAGCTGTTTGTGCCGCGTGTTGAATCACATATTATCTCACACTTACAGGTATGTCTTAATAAGCTCTTTTATATCAGTTTATTAGCCATGGTCCTGCAGTTGATCAGTTATGTCATGGAAGGGTACCACGGAGCTCACTGACAATTACGGGATGTAAGAGGCAGAAGGAAAGTTAGGCTTGAAACACAACAGAGCGCAGTTCATCTGATGGTCTAGCAGCTGCCGATTCGCCTTCTCATCTGTTTCTAAGTAATAGATATTGATGCTTCTCTGCTCAGAGCAGACCTACTGTACATGCAGTTGCCCACAGTGCACAGAATGGCATTTTTTCAAAATCCTTTCCAGCTCACTGTTAAAGGCACAATGTCAGATGTCAGGACCCACAAGGGTTACTCTTGGAGCTAAGCCACACCATCATTGTTCCTCACACTGTGCTCTTTCTGGGAGAAAGAAACATGTTCGCCTTTTGCCTCATTTCCCTCCCAAAGCAACTGACCAAGTTCTGAAACCACTCTTAGGAGGAAAAAACCCCCTCAGGTCCTGTATCCTTTATGATGACAGCTCTCATCTGTGCCTGGTGGGAAAGGGGGGCCAACAGGAAACATTTAGAAAACAGTTTTTCGCCTAAAACCCGTCATGGAGTCTGACTTCAGAAGCAGTTCCACTCAAGCTTCTGTGGCCAGCTTCTTTCT